TTTCTTTCTTTCTTTCTTTCTTTCTTTCTTTCTTTCTTTCTTTCTTTCTTTCTTTCTTTCTTTCTTTCTTTCTTTCTTTCTTTCTTTCTTTCTTTTTAAGTGTCAGTCCATTCTTTTGCTTTTACGTTTGTTCGTTTCCTTTCATTCCTTTATTCATCTTTCTCACTCTTTCCTTCTTTTTCATTTCTCTGTTAATAGCTCTCTCTTTTAATCCATTCGAATATGCCAAAATTGCACTCAAAAAATCAGGACACATGATAAAGAATCTAAAATCTGCACACACAAAAAACAATATCCCATTGCATTAAATCATCCAAGTTATTACTGTGTTTTCCTCATAGATTGGATTCGAATCATAACATGTGATAATTGTTAATAACTGTCCCTATGAGGGGGTAAAACCTTGTGAGAATCGACATTCTGCTAGCAAGAATCATATGACAGGCTCTTAGCATAAGCTTTTGTCAGGCCTTAGGGTTTGATCCAACGATTCCGTTTAACGCCTTTCCACCCTTCCACCCTATTGACGTTTCGTCTGGCAAAGCAAAGGCCAAGTTCAGTTGCGGTCGTGGACGGCTAATAATTCTCTGCACTGTAAAACGGGATTGAATCAACTAGGAAAGGAAATCCGAAAATGGTCGTAGAGAGTATAAGCTAATGAAATAGAATTTCTTTAACTATCATTAATTTGCTAAGGCGGTGCCACCTTAACTCATACTGTAAGCGCCCTATACCGTGAACACTTCCACAATTTTTATTTATTTATTTCTTTTTGGCGTCATTTTTTTGGCCACTTGAACGGGCTTTCGCTCTGAAGTTGTAAACGTGCCTGGAATGTTTTCTTATAGGGGGCTTTCATTTACTATCAAATGGAGGGGGCAACAATTACATAATCTTCTTTCAATTTAGATCCTGATACCCCCCCTCCCTCCTAACCACTTTCTCATAATAACGTAACTTTCCTACAATTTTTCCGAACACCCACCCCCGCTAATAATGTGCTAAGTCCCCATAATAATTCGTTGGCTTATGTTCGCGCCAATAATTGCAAGCTCGTGTGTCAAAAACTCTTCAAATTGGAAGATATCCTCTAAGTTCTGAATGTCTTATTCCTTTTAACAGATACTTCACTTCAAAACCACACATCGCTGCATCGTCAAGAAACACTGAACTCGCCAACAACATCAGCTCAACTTGGAAAAGCTACGGCTTCGATACCGTTAAAACGGTCAAATATAACGTCCTTTTGTCTTTCCCGACCAAAAACAAAACCAATGCTGCCTTTATTCTTGATGACAAGGGTGGAGTAAAGTTTGAGACTGCACAGAAGGAAGATATAGTTGATCCTAGCTGCGATTCCCCTGATGCAACTCCACCGTTTAGCGCTTACTCGCCAACAGGACAAGAAACTGTAAGTAAAGCCCACGGTAACGAAAAGCTTTCAAAAAAAATAGTAGTTAAATGATAAATAACCTAATATTAGCATTTACAGTTAAATAACACCTTTTAGGGTCGAAAATGAGACCTCGCGTACCTTTTAGGGTCTCCAGCTGACTCCCGGCTGACTCCGTACCTTTTAGGGTCAGATTTGTTCGTTTTAAAAGATATCAAACGTCATACAAGAATATAATGATTGGAAACGTTGTCATTTTAAATGTGGTCATAACTTTAAGGGTCTGAAATCAACATCTCAGTTAATTCATGCGTACCTTTTAGGGTCATTTTCAAAGTCGAGCCCCACTACCCACTTTTCAAGAGAGTCCCCACCCCCCGGGTATTATGGTCAGCGCTTGTGAAATTATTAACAGTTAACTGACAATTGGCCAAAAAATTAGTGGTTGATTACTGACAATCGGGTACCACCATCCACACCCCCATTAAAGAGAGCCCATGTTGCAAATGGTTCCATTGCATGATCATTTATTTGTTTTTCTAGGGCGAAATTGTTTATGCAAACTATGGAAGTCGTGACGATTTTGAATATTTACGATCAAAGAATATCAACTGCACTGATAAAATTGTTCTGGTTCGTTATGGCCAGGTGTTTAGAGGAGATAAGGTAACAAGATTGTGTATGTTTGTAAATATTTATAACTGAAGTAATAAATTGTTATTATTGTTGTTGTTGTCGTATACTAGTGCAGATTTCGTATGACTGTGAAAAGTTCAGTGCCGTGCCGCAACCGTGATATTTCCTACAGTTTTTATTGGCTTTCTTTTGCTCAATGTATTGGTCTAGCAGTGCCGTGTCCTTGTCGTGACCGTGTCCGCGTCGTGTTCGTGACGTGTTTCGTGCATTTGATTGGATGAAGAGTTCGTGTCTTGCCGTGTATGGCGCGTTTTCGGGTTCAAAATTAGATATGTGTAGCTTGTGCCAATTACTTTTGAATTCATATCTTTTTACCGCTTATTACTTACAAAAACATGCTTGTTTCACTCAAATTACCTTTGAAAACATGTAACCTAGAAGACAACTGACTTTTGAAACTGTTCTTGTGTAAATTATTTTTGAATTCATATCTTTCACCACCATGTATTACTTGCAGAAACACGGATTACTTTTGAAACACGTCTTTCGGCATCACTACTTTAAAAACACTGCTCTTTGCAGCATTATTTATCAAAGACCTTCCTTTCACTAAATGACTTTAACAAAACGAATCCGGTTTGTGCCCGTTTAATACTATCGAAGCTAACACCTCGCTTACGTCTAATACGACGATCCTTTTCAGTTAATTCTTCACATTCCAACATAGCGACTTCCGCTTTGGCTTTCATTCATTACTTGCGAACAGTGATCGCATTACTTGCAAACACAAATTACTTTTGAAACATTTTTGAGCCAGGCGTTCCTGGTCAACTCTGAGCCTGATCATGTGACAAGAGACTAGGAGGAGCGAACTTACACCTTGTAGTATATTTATTTATGTAGTTCTTTATCAAATTTAATATAAATTCGTTATTTAATATCTTTAATCTTCTTGCTTATATTTTTGTTCCATTGTGTCTTTGCCGTTCATTGTTTGTCCTTTCGTTCATTTCGTTGTTTGTGCAGTCTTTATTGTTTGTTTATCTGTGTTTGCTTTTGTCTGTTTGTTTTTTCGCTTCAAAACGGCGTACCTTTGCACTGCCTCGTTTTCTCTCTCTCCTCGCCTCCTCGCTTCCTCGCCTCCTCGCCTCCTCGCCTCCTCGCCTCCTCGCCTCCTCGCCTNCGCCTCCTCGCCTTCTCGCCCCCTCGCCCCCTCGCCCCCTCACCTCCTCGCCTCCTCGCCTCACTGCCTCCTTGGCTCCTTGCTCCTTTTTCGTGTTTGTTTCTATCTTTCCGACTGATCTCATTCACAGGTTACCAATGCTGCTAATGGAGGTGCAAAAGCGGTCCTCATATTCAACGACCCAAAAGACTTTGCTCCAGTCCCCGACAAAGATCTTTACCCTGATGGCTGGTGGCTTCCAAGGTCTGGGGTCCAGAGAGGCTCTGTATTACTGGGTACAGGAGACCCCCTCACTCCCAGGTACCCAGCAAAAGGTAATGAATATTCTCCAATTTTTCCACTTTCTCTGGGCATGCGCAGTATAAATGTATCTTCTTTTTCTTCATTTTTTGTTACATTTGGATTTTGATTATCTTAGTTTAGTATAAATACACAGGTGATTATTGAAAATCACGCGCGCTGATTGGTCGAGAAACTCAAATTATCRCACGATAATCACCTCCAGCGATAATCCAAAATGGCGGCCAGCCGCTTTGTTGCTGTTACTGGAAAAAAAAAAGTCTTTCATCTTCTTTTTTTTCCTTTTTTTGAAAGAATCACCTGTGTATTTATACTAAAACAATTATTCACCTCAGGCTCAGTGAATATCGGGAATAATAACCTCAACTTCGTTTCGGTCATTATGCCCGATATACACTTTGTCTTCGGCGAATAATTGTTAAATATTCATTGTCTATATGTAGAGACAGACTGAAAGACAGACAGACCAAAAACGATCAAGGAGAAATTCGACGACTATGCACAGATATATAGATTTTATGATTAGGATAATAATTTTACTAGTGAAGATATAAATTTTATCTGCTACTATTTGTTATGAAAATATTCATATTATTAAATAATTGTTTCAGAGGGCGTCTATAGAAGTAAAACAGCGGAAATAGCTCTACCAAAGATTCCTGCACACCCTATATCTGCTAGAGATGCCGAGAGATTTTTAAGGTAAATTGGCTTACACGAGGACATTCAACTTTTAGCTGAATCTATTGTGCAACTCAAACGAATCTATTGTGATTTTTCAAACGTTTTGCTAGGGGTCGGTGTTTTCCGGCAAAACTAAAGCTTGTCCTAAGGCTCGAACACACGATTCTTAATCGTTGCGCGCAACGTTTCACGCAACCAGGAAGTTCTCCGCTTTTGTACACACCACGGGAACCGTTGCGAGATCTACTTTTGCACCGTTGCGCGCAGCTAGTTTCAACGACAGTACACGATGCAGAAAGAACAGCTGAACAGCATCAAAAAGTAATTTTTACTCTGAAGGTTACTTTACGTTGCGCTCAACAATAACTGTTGCAGTGAGATACGGGCCTTGACATGCTTTCCCCATGTGGACGAGCCAACGTAGTTTTTCTCCTATCTTCAATTTTCTTTCTTTAATTTTCACTTACGACCACAGGAAAAAAGCCTGCACCGGTAGAGCTGCGGATGCTTTAGGACGATCATTAATATTAGACTGAAAATTGTTATTATATTTTCGTGGTTTCGTGTTTTTATTTTTAGTCTAATGAGAGGACCCGCCGCTCCAGATTCATGGCAAGGAGGGATCAACGTTACTTATAAACTGGGACCAGGGTTCAAGATTGCAAACTGGTACTGATGTGAACTCATTAACTGAAACTTTAGGATCGCATAGGATATACAGTAAACTATATTGACGGATCCATGTAGGATGGTGGTGGTGGTGGGTGGTGGGTGGTGGTGG